TGGACGGATTACCGTACCGCATGCTGCATGGGCTGCGGTTGATTTCGGCCCCCGCTTGCTTGCCTCTATGTTCAGCTGGCCACGTCAGGGGCAGGCTCTATTCGACGCTGCCAGCGTCACCCTGCAAGTCTTCATCCCCAAGGGCTCCGAGGCCTCCGACACAAGTGGCGGGGCCTGCGGGGGGTCTCCTGATCGGGTTCAGGCACTGGGCCTCCGCAGTATTGACATGAAGATTTGGAGCTCGGTTGTGAATATCAGGATGAAGCCAGTTGTGGACTTTGTGGTCCAGCCTTCGCAACGTGGATTTATTTATGGTCGTATTTTTGGATGATACGCTTGAGCTCGACGCCCTGGGCCGCGCAGCCTCTCAGCACCCTCTCGCCCGAAACGCGTTCCCGATCCTGCTTGGCTTTGACTACGGCCAGGCATTCCTCATGTAGCCCCTGGGCGCCCTGGGGCTCTGCGAGGCGCCCCTTTCCTTCGTCGGAATCCTATGTGAGGCCGCCCAAGGGGCCATTGCGGACGGGGGCGCTCTGCTGGAAGTTTTTTGGCTGAGATCGGGGATCATCCATGGATGTGGCCTCTCGGGCCCCCTGCGTGCTCTGGCCTCTGCGCCGGTGCTCCAGGACTTGGAAACAAACCCAGAGGGTGACGGTAAAGGGCTTGGTCGCGCGTGTGCCGACGATTCGGGAGTGGTCTTGTTCGAGTTTGGATGCGTTAAAGATCGCCTTTGAGGTTCGCCAGGCCATGGAGCTGATCGCGGGGCTCTCTACTAGTATTAGTATGTGCGCTGCGGTTCCCCTCGCGGGCTCGATCTCTGAGGCTTTCCGAGGCGAAGTTCGGGATCTCCTGGGCCGCTATGTTCCTGAATGGGCTGAGTTCGCAATTGAAGGATGCATGCTGCATCTTGGCATCCGGCTCGGGGCTCGGGCCCAGCGCCACTGTCGAGCGGTGCTGGCGCGACCCGCTCGCCTACATTTCGCACGAGAGGTTGCATGCTCAGCCGCGCCGGTGCGGCAAGTGGCGTCAATTCCACATTGTGCCGTACCCGAGTTCGTTATGCCTTTTCTTTTGTCTCCCAGTTTGTTCCGACGCCGCCCTCTTTCCTCGCTTTCGAGAGAGGCGTCGTCTCGCAGGTCCTGAGGCGCCCGCTCGGCATGATCAGTAATGAAGCTATGCCCGAACTTCATTGTTGGGGGGGGGGGGGCGCGTCTGCCCTCGTGGGCCGCTCATGCTGCTGCTGCACTTCTCAGAGCGGCTTCCATCACCTTCCGCGGCCCCCCGACCTACCTCGACCTGATGAAGACCAAGGCGATCGGCTGGCGACAGGAAGTTGCCGACGGACATTTCGATGGCACTCCTCTCTCTGCCGCCGTGCGGACGCGCATGTACCCCAGGTTATGGAAGGCACTTGCGTTCGTTGAGGACCTTGACGGCGTGCTCGATCTCTCCGTTTGCGCTTGCTCATTGGAAGTCGAGGCCGATCGCGCTCGAGCTGGAGGATCCGGCTGGTCACTCCGCTAGCGATAAACGATGGGCCATGGGACAGGCCTGTGGCAAAGTTCTCAGTGAGCGGCGCCTGGAAAAGCTAATAGTATGCGCTCTCGCGCGAATGCTCGCTTGCGCATGCAGAAATTCGCCCGCTCTCGCCTTGTCATTTCGCTTTTCCCCGATCGCCTCCCCGTCCACCTTCATCTCTCGTTCGCGCAGCTGGCATCTGCAGGATGACGAATTCGCTAGTGATCAGATCGGATGGGAGCCGCTCAGAGCGCTGCTCCTGGCAGTCTGCCCTGATCAAGACATGGGCGGGCGGATGGGCGACCAGCCGCCGTCTACGCGCCAGCGATAAGGATGTTGACGGCCCATGCGCCTTCACATGCCTCAAGTGCGAGGTACCGGGCGTGCTTCACTCCATGTCGCATTGTATCCATTGCTGTCGCATGGCACGTTGCCTGCATGGTGCGGAGCATTCCCCTCCCCGCCCCTGAATGCTCGCTCGCTCGCCTCGGCCTCTGCAGCGGCGTTCCGGCAGAGGCGCGGCGTCTCGCGCTCGAGCGCGCGCTCATAGTCATAGCCTTTCGCAAATAAATCGAAGACTTGCTCTTTGAAGTGGTCGCAGCCTGGCGCGGCTTCGGAGAGCGCCCGCGCTGCGAGGGCGCTGCTCCTTTCAACTTCCAGGCCTGCTGCGCAGTAGCTCGCTGGAGCAAGCGCCGCGCGGAAGCACGAGTGATTTGCGGCATGGCCTATTAGGCGCACCCGATCGCCAGCTCACCTCCTCTGGACTCGGCGGGGGGGCGAGCGAAGCGGCTGCATGATGAGACTTCGGGGCCATCGCATCGGCCACCCCGGTAGGCGTTCACCGCGCGCTGCAGCGCCCCAGCGTCGACCGGCGAGAAGTCGGCCTCGAAGGTGGTTTCCGCAATTCCAGCGAGCTGCGCGAAGCGCCGCGCGTGCACCTTCTCGCATTTCGGCAGACCCCTCACGCGTCTCGTAGCTCCATTGTGCCATAGGGTCTCCACCGAGGGCCCCAGCGGCAGGGTTCACATGGGTGACCCGCCCCATTTCGGGCCCCACCGAGGGCCCCAGTGGCAGGGTTCACATGGGTACCCGCCCCATGTCGGCAGACCCCCCGCACGTTTCGTGGCCCCATAGGGAGCCCCACCGAGAGCCCCAGCGGCAGGGCCTCACACATTTCGTGGCCCATAGGGATCGTCACCGAGGGTCCCAGTGGCAGGGTGCACGTGAATGCCCGCTCCATGTCGGCAGACCCCTCACATGTTCCGTGCCTCCATAAGGGGTTCCACCGAGGGCCCCAGCGGCAGGGTTCACATGGGTACACGCCCCATGTCGGCAGACCCTTCACACGCTTCGTGGCACCATGGGGATCTCCACCGCGGGGCACGACGGAGTCCCCCTAACGAGTTCTTGTGCATTGAGCGGTCATGCTGGCCGCTTCCATGTCCGTAGAATGGGTTGGGTTCTTCGCAAGGGTAATATCTGGGGGCGGTTCCAAAGTGTCAGCGTGTGTGTGTATGTGTGTGTGCCAGGCAAGCCTCCACGAACCGCGTTCTCTCAAACGTTATAATGCGAAGTAGTACGCTGTCAAAACGTGAGTATGATAGACATATCGTGGACCAACTTCACAACAACAAATTTATGTTGACTAACAATCGTAGCGTGCAGGTACAACATGTGATTATACATACCTGTACACCGCATTCATGTCGCAGTGTAAAATGTGCACATGTGTCCATCACTCACTATACCCGTCTGCTGATCAGTGGTAGCACGCGCTACATAATTGATGCCGAACACGCAAACACGGGACTCACAACCCGAACGCCAGCGGGCGCTATAGATGTATACATGTGTGTTAACGCAAATTACAATATACGGTTCAAAAACTATGCTGAAGCAAATGCAACCAGCTCGATCATGCTCAAGGTTGTTAAGGCGATGCCCAGCGTTGTTACAATACGGCATCGATGTACCTATGACTATATGTTTACAAGGAACGAATTCACTAATTGCGTTAAGTTTCAAGCTTGCTTGGTGTATTAGGTTAACGTGCTAAAGTTGCTCGATCGCCATATGTTGTTTCACAACAAAACAAAACCCAACGTACGTGTACTTGATAAATGTTTCCATGCACGTTAGCACTTGGCTGTGTTTGACAGCAAGTGGTTTACACTTGTTTAGCTAAGAAGCTAATTTGGTAAAGCCGCCTGCCCAAGTAAGTGGAGGAGCCTCCTGGCCTCCTCGGCGAATCCTGGGGCTTCCATAGGAGGTGTGGAGCCCGCGGGGAGCTGATGAGGCCTCCTGAAGCCTCCTGGAGCTTCCTGGAGCCTCCTTGGGTTCCCTGAGGCCTCCTGGGGCACCCCTGAGGCCTAGTGTGTATTTTCACATTTCAACTTCCGTCGCCTGCTGCTCGACACCCTTCTGGTGCAGGGCCAGAGGACCCCAGCACAAAGAGAACCCTGGGCCAGAGCCCTTCCTGGGAAAACGGATCCAGAGGACGCAGAACTGTTCCCCAGAAAGGGATCGCGGAGCTGACGTCGCAGAGTGGAAAGACAAGTTGCTGGAAGGGTGGGGAGTGACTTTTCGCTGGAGTTGCCTTTGGTACATTTTTGGGGGGTGACGGTGGGCGAGGCGAGGCCAATCCGAAGCTTGCAGGCCGCTGCTGTCGGGTCGAGCGCAAAGATTGGCAAGCCAAAGGTCACTCTTGCGTGCGTCCGACCGTGATTCCCCGCCCCCGCCTCCGCGAGCAGAGCCGCGTGCCGATGATATTTACGCCCTTGCGCGCACCGACCGCACCTCATTTAGGTGGACGCGGCCACCTCTGCTGAGATTACGTCGCGTTGGCCGCGCCGATCGCTCCCGTCGCCGCGCCGATTAACTACGTTTACTTAACCACACTCCCCCCCCCCTAAGCCAGCCCCCCCCCATCGCCCCCCACCCCAGGTCTGCGATGTCTTGATTTGGTCCATGCGGGCCCCGCAAGTCCCGACCCTTCCCCTGGGGTCATTTTTTAATCGCGAGTCGTTTCTTGACGGTCTCCCACCCGGGGCCCGGCGAGGGCCCCCAGAGGCCGAAGACAGAAACAAAAAACCCGTCCCGATTTTCGAGCATCGTGATTAAGTTTGGGCTCTCACCCCAGCAGGAGCCCACTATCGCCCACTTGCCTGGCGCCGGCGAGGCTGGCGCCCCCGCCCCGCAGCTGGCCCCGGCGCCCGTGCTGGGGGCGCCCGCGCGGGCCGCTGCGTCGCGTCCGCTGCCCTCTCGGGGGACCCCAGCTGACCATCTCGTTAGATGTTTGTTTGGGGGGCCTGCCTGGGGCCCACCAATCGACTCTAGTTCGACTCTAGTTCGTTTCTAGTTCGTTTGGGACCCCCAGAGTTCGACTCTAGTTCGTTTCTACCTCGACCCAAGTTCGAATCAGGTTCGACTTACAGTCGACTCAAGTCGACAGACGCTCGGTGCAGAATCGACGCAAGAGTGGAGCGAGTGGCCCCAGGTTCCAGGAAGGTCCCCAGAACGAGCATGGCCTGGCCAGACTCGGTGAGGTGGGCAGCTGACGTCCCCCGACACATCTCTCGCAGAGGGGCCGCCCACCGCCTTCGGGACGGTGTCCGTGGTGCTGCCGTGCGCCGAGGACGGGGGTGTGCGGGCCACCACGGGGCTGGGCTCACGTTGTCACGCGGCCGGTCCCGGGCAAGAGCCGGGTGCACAGGACGCGGCATGCGCAGAACCTTTTGGAGGTCTGGGGATCCAGCGCAGATCCAGAAAAAACGGCTCGGACGTCCGAAAACATGTGCATGTCCTTGGTTTTTTCAGGGTTCTTGCCTTCTCACCATTTCATGCTTCCAACGCTCCAAGACGGCCGAAGAGGCCCCCAAGACCGCCCAAGAGGCCCCCAAGACGGCCCCAAGACTGGCCAAGACGGTCCCAAGACTGCCGAAGAGGCGCCCCGGACAGCTCCAGACCACACCAGAACAGGCCCAAGATGAGCCCAAGAGCGGGAGCAGGAGGCCGCCCGAGACCTCCGAGAGGACTCCAGGACCCCCCAGATGCCTCCAACATCCCCCAGACCCCTGAGAGGCCACCAAAAAACCTCCGACGAGGCCCCTCAAACAGCCCAAGAGAGTTTCGAGAGCCGTCCCGAGAGAGCCCGAAGAGGGTAAACACGTTGATTTGCATTGTTTTTTGTCGACTTGTTTCGCCTTCTCACGCTTTCTGGTTTCCAACGCTCCAAGACCGAGGAATTTGAAAAATGGAGTTTCAGAGATTTCTTGCTTTTCTGTAAGAAATGCGCGCCCCCTCCTCCCCGTGATCCCACACCTTCCCGCAACATCTGCGGAACGCTCGCGGTACCGCGCTTCCCGGCCTCCCGGGGAGCCCCCAAAACGCCCAGGACAGCCCAAGACGACCCCAAGAAGCCCCCAGAACGTCAAAGAAAGGCCCAAGACGCTCTCAAGCAGCCCAGGATAGCTTTCGGTCGGCTCTCCAGGCTCCCAGAAAGTCTCCAAGAGACTGCGAAACTTGAAAAACAAATAATTCCCGAGATTCTTTGTTTTATAAAATATGGAACTCTTACTCCCTATCCTCTTCCTCGAGCCCCATCAAGACTTCGAGGTCACATGCAAAGGTTTGTCGGGAGTACGGTCGAACTCTCTAACGTCTTGGATCGTTTTCGTGTACTCTTGGCTGCCCCTGAAAAGAAATCGAGATCCCATGATCCCATGTTTCGACCAAGAAATGGCATGTTCAATTTTTATGTTTCCTCAAATTCGCCCCATGCCTATTTTTGCACGAAGACCACGAGAGTCATCCCAACATACCGTGGCCTGCATCCAGAAAGCTTCTAACCCACAGCCCAGGCACGGCAACTTGCAAATTACCTTGCGACGTACCCAACCCACGTGCATCAAGTGGCAAGAGGAGTAGGTCAACATTAGCAGGAACAACGATAATGTAGGCGATGTGAATTGCTGTGCAAACTACATGGGATGCGCACGCATTGCACGGCTCACAGGACGACGATCGAAAGAACGAGGATTAAAGCCCCAGGCTCGCGTATGACGTCACTCCGCTGGGCCACCCAGCAGCCCTCGAAAGTGGTGACAGTTTCGCAGATCGCAGCTCCCCAAGGATGGCGAGGTCTAATCTGAATCCAAATATGTCCCCACTCCGCTGGGCCCTCCAGCAGCCCTCGAAAGTGGCGACAGTTTCGCAGATCGCAGTCCTTCGGGGATGGCGAAGTCGAGCCTGAGTCTGCGTAGGACCCACTCCGCTGGCCCCCCAGCAGCCATCGAAAGTGGCGACGGTTTCGCAAATCGCAGTCCCCCAGGAATGGCGAGGTCGAATCTGAGTACCCCACTCCGCTGCCCCCCCCAGCAGCCCTCGAAACTGGCGACAATTTCGCAAATCGCAGCCCCCCCAGCGATGGCGAGGTCTAATCTGAGTCCCCGTGGGGGCTCACTCCGCTGGTCACCCCAGCAGCCCTCGGAAGTGGAGACAATTTCGCAGATCGCAGCCCCCCAGAGATGGCGAGGTCTAATCTGAGTCCCCGTGGGGCCTCACTCCGCTGGGCCCCCCAGCAGCCCTCGAAAGTGGAGACGGTTTCACATCACAGATCGCAGCCCCCCATGGATGGCGAGATCTAATCTGAGTCCGCGTGGTGCCTCACTTCGCTGGGCCCCTGAGCAGCCCTCGAAAGTGGCGACAGTTTCAGGGATCGCAGCCCCCCCCCAGAGATGGCGAGGTCTAATCGGAGTCCCCGTCCCCGTGGTGCCTCACTCCGCTGGACCCACCAGCAGTCCTCGAAAGTGGCGACAGTTTCACAGATCGCAGCCCCCACAGATGGCGAGGTCTAATCTGAATCCCCGTGGTGCCTCACTCCCCTGGACCCACCAGCAGCCCTCGAAAGTGGCTAAAATTTCAGAGATCGCAGCCCCCCAGAGATGGCGAGGTCTAATCTGAGTCCGCGTGGTGCCTCACTCCGCTGGACCCACCAGCAGCCCTCGAAAGTGGTGACAGTTTCACAGATCGCAGCCACCCCCAGAGATGGCGAGGTCTAATCTGAGTCCCCGTGGGGCCTCACTCCGCTGGGCCCCCCAGCAGCCCTCGAAAGTGGAGACGGTTTCACAGATCGCAGCCACCCCCAGAGATGGCGAGGTCTAATCTGAATCCCCGTGGTGCCTCACTCCCCTGGACCCACCAGCAGCCCTCGAAAGTGGCTAAAATTTCAGAGATCGCAGCCCCCCCAGAGATGGCGAGGTCTAATCTGAGTCCGCGCGGTGCCTCACTCCGCTGGACCCACCAGCAGCCCTCGAAAGTGGTGACAGTTTCACAGATCGCAGCCACCCCCAGAGATGGCGAGGTCTAATCTGAGTCCCCGTGGGGCCTCACTCCGCTGGGCCCCCCAGCAGCCCTCGAAAGTGGCGACGGTTTCACATCACAGATCGCAGCCCCCCAGGATGGCGAGATCTAATCTGAGTCCCGTGGTGCCTCACTCCGCTGGGCCCCCCAGCAGCCCTCGAAAGTGGCGACAGTTTCACAGATCGCAGCCCCCCCCCAGGATGGCGAGGTCTAATCGGAGTCCCCGTCCCCGTGGTGCCTCACTCCGCTGGACCCACCAGCAGTCCTCGAAAGTGGCGACAGTTTCACAGATCGCAGCCCCCACAGATGGCGAGGTCTAATCTGAATCCCCGTGGTGCCTCACTCCGCTGGACCCACCAGCAGCCCTCGAAAGTGGCGACAGTTTCACAGATCGCAGCCCCCCAGAGATGGCGAGGTCTAATCTGAGTCCGCGTGGTGCCTCACCCACCAGCAGCCCTCGAAAGTGGTGACAGTTTCACAGGCCACCCACGAGGTCTAATCTGACACTCCGCTGGACCCACCAGCAGATGGCGACGACAGATCGTCGAGGTCTAATCTGAATCCCCGTGGTGCCTCACTCCGCTGGACCCACCAGCAGCCCTCGAAAGTGGCGACAGTTTCACAGATCGCAGCCCCCCAGGGATGGCGAGGTCTAATCTGAATCCCCGTGGTGCCTCACTCCGCTGGACCCACCAGCAGCCCTCGAAAGTGGCGACAGTTTCACAGATCGCAGCCCCCCACAGATGGCGAGGTCTAATCTGAATCCCCGTGGTGCCTCACTCCGCTGGACCCACCAGCAGCCCTCGAAAGTGGCGACAGTTTCACAGATCGCAGCCCCCCCCCCAGAGATGGCGAGGTCTAATCTGAATCCCCGTGGTGCCTCACTCCGCTGGACCCACCAGCAGCCCTCAAAGTGGCGACAGTTTCACAGATCGCAGCCCCCCAGCCCCCAGGGATGGCGAGGTCTAATCTGAATCCCCGTGGTGCCTCACTCCGCTGGACCCACCAGCAGTCCTCAAAAGTGGCGACAGTTTCACAGATCGCAGCCACCCCCAGAGATGGCGAGGTCTAATCTGAGTCCGCGTGGTGCCTCACTCCGCTGGACCCACCAGCAGACCTCGAAAGTGGCGACAGTTTCACAGATCGCAGCCCCCCAGCGATGGCGAGGTCTAATCTGAGTCCCCGTAAGACGTCACTCCGCTGACCCCCCAGCAGCCCTCGAAAGTGGCGACAGTTTCACAGATCGCAGCCCCCCAGGGATGCAAGAGAAAAGAGGAGGAGGAGGAGAAGGGAGGAGAGGAGGGGGACGGGAAGGAGGAGAAGGGAAGACGCGACCGCAGTGCTCTATTCAAAACGAGTACCCAACGCAGGAGGGTTGGGAAAAAGTGAATCCCACAGTTCCTTTTGTTCAAGTTCGCCACCCCTTGTCTACTCTTGCACAACAGATCACAATTAAGGCCCTCCTCAGCTCCCAAAAGAGAACCCAGGAAGTCTTTGAGGGCCCCAAATCGTTGAATACCGAACGGGAATTCATGATCTCTGCGTTTCCGCAGTGATTCCGAGGCTTGCGCAGGGCCTCCAAGAGAGTCCTTGAATGCAAGAAACGACCAAAATTAGATCTCATGAGTTCGCCCATCAAGCCTAGCTAGAACTTGAGCGCGCGCGAAGCGCGCGATGGTTCTAGTATATCGGAGTAGGCGGCCCGGGGGGGGGGGGGGGGGGGCGGGGCGGGGACGTACCCCCTCATGGGGGTATTGGGGGTCCCAGGGTTCCCGGGACTGCCCGGGCCCGCTCCCAAACACGCCACGACACGTCCAGAGGTCCCTAACGATTGCTAAGACAGCCCCAAGAGGCCCCGGACACACCGAAGATGGTTCAGGACGGCCGCCGACGACGCCAAAACGCCTCAAGAGTGCTTGCAGAGGCCCATCCAAAGAGCCCCAGAAGCCAAACATCATGATTTCGCCTATGGTTTTTGAAGCAGATTTGCGCTCTCGCATGCTCCGCCTCCCCACGGTGCTGGACGGCGTCAGAGGCCCTTCAGATCGCTCCAAGACGGCCGAAGAGGCGCCAAGGAAGGCCAGAGACGGCCCAGGAGGCTCCCCAGATAAGTCAAGAGGGCCTCGAGAGCGCCCCAAGAGAGCCCCAAGAGTGACCCAAGAGGGTCCAAAGAGCGCGACATTTCAAGGTCTCCTGCCTGAGAGGCTCCTAGGACGCCTCCGGGGGCCATCAAGAGGCTCCCAGGAAGCCCGTGAGGCTCCCAAGAGGCCCCCC